GCCGGCCACTCCGGCCTCGAGTCTGCAGCGCACCTGCTGGGTCACTGGTGCCGGGAAAGATGGGTCAGACTGACTCACAATCGCCCTGTGCGGTGCTGGGCCCAAATGCACAGGCTGCCTCTGTCTATGTTGTACGTTCATGGAATCGGCAGCTTAAACCGACCGCAGGATGACTTAAATAAGCACATACGTTCCTCTCGTATCCAAAGAGCGGTGATGCTTCTCAATAGAAAAAGCCAGAAACCTCTCCCTGAAGTCACAGCCCGTCTTCTGTTCGGGTTTTATTTGCATCTGTTATGATTAATTCCTCAACTATTCACATGCTTTTCGACCTGAGCGCCGCACCTCATGTGTCTGTTCGCCTGGACCTTGACCCGCGATCAGCAAAATGGGATTTGTAGAGAGCGTCCATTTTAAAAGCACTAGAGGGAGCTTCCTGGCTATTTGGGGGATTTAAATAAATCCTTTTACCTTCAGTAAAGCCTTTTATAAGGAGAAGAACACACACCCCTCCCCCCGGCCCCGAGGCTCCGGTTCACAAGCGCAGACTGTGCCTCGTGCGCCTCGGGGTCACCAGGATGCCGGGGGTCACTGAACAGGAGGCAGGGCCGTGCCTCCCCGCCCCTCATAAAAGATCCTGCATGTGCGTTCTGTGAAAACTTCTCTCTCTACACGCACTTCAGATAACTAACTCCCCTCAATCCTCACACGCAGGGAGACAGCAGCCATCCACGTCGGACCACTGATGCCACCTGATAAATCCACCGCTTCTCTATTTTCAGCGCTGTACCGTTTCGTAAGCTTTAATTTGATTCCCTCCACTGTTGAGCCTTGGCTTCAGGCTAAGCGTGGTCTGAGACCTGGTCCCCGGGCGTTTCGCGTTCTCCGGACCCTGTCTAGGGAAAACCTAAGTGGGCTTTCTCCTTCCTCTGTCAGCAGTCGTCCGAAGGAAAGTGCAGTGAAGAGAGGTTTCGTCCGTAGCACCCGATCAGGGCGTCACCCGGTGGCCCTACAGTCTCCCCACGGAGCTGCCTTCGGAGGGGACCTGCGCGTGGCCCCAGGCAGAGCCCTGCAGAGTCCCTCCAGGGCGACGGAGGAGGGAGGGGGGGGGGG